ATTCACTCGACTGATTTGTTCAAAAACAAAGATTCATGTTCAAAACCCAGATTCATTAAGGAATGAAACAACTGACTGTCAAAAACAAAACAACATTCAGAAATGAAAACCCACTACTGTGTGTTGATCATTTTAGACGGCTAATTAAAAACTAAGTTACTGGCCATATTGCGTCTTAATGGTAGTTACTAGATATTAACTTCTTGTTTATCAAACGTTGGTGTAAAATCAGCATCCCTCCGCCACCTGTGCTGTTGTACTGAATACCAGCACGCCACCGCGCTCATACTGATCCGCAACGCTGCAGTCCAGAGCGCAACGACACGCAGCAGCGCTGACGCACTGAATATGAGGGATGTGTGATACTGTATGTAACAGACTGTGAGATGATGTGAAATGCTCCGTTAGTAACAGGACTGACCATCGTCTGAGGATCAGGCACTCGGTGAAGCGCGCAGGAGACAGACGGCTGTAAACACACACACACACACACACACACACACACACACACACACACACAGTATAAGAACACATATGACCGCTGGAACCATGCCATGCACAGAGGTGTTATTACAGTCTAAAGACGAGGAGCAGCTTTATGTCATGCTGAATGAAATAAATCAATATGACAAAAGCACATAAGATGCTTAACACAAAAATAAAAGCCAATTCAAAATATTAATAAATACTGTGCATAATAACACTGATAAGCAGCTCAAAATGACATGTTACAGCACTAAATGATATTTCAATCCGAATTATGAAAACATGTCCACAGCACTTTGCAGAGGCGGTAAAATATATGACGATGCATGATGTACAGAGCTGGGCAAACTGTATTTCAAATACGAATTCATTACTTTAGAGTATTTTATAATCCCAGGTTTTGTCTGATGCAAGTGAATCGAGTCTTAAAGGGACAGTTCACCCAAAAATCCCAATCCTGTCATTAATCACGTGCTGTGATGCTCTCCTCAACACAATGCAGATCAATACTTTCATAACGCTGTCAATTATGTTTTTTTTAACGAACGCTTTAATTAGTCCATGGTTCATTCCAACTGGAGAAGAAGAAGAAGACGATGAAAGCTGTTTTGTTTCTCTTTCTCTCAACTGCAGTGATGCTAAATATAACAGCTCTGACTTTTTCACTTTATGTGATTGCTTTTTCAAACTACAAATCATTTGTATTTTAATTAAATGCATGCCTCACAGCAGTATTCTGCACTTTAATGAAATACGTCTGATCTCGCCTGCAGCTTTCAGGAGACACATGTTGGTCTTTCACGTGCATTCGTTTCTAAACTGCTGTCACGTGCTGCTCGCGGGTCCCAGCACTCACCGCTCAGGGAAGGACGAAGTAAAAGATGAGGAAAAGAACCACATCGAACAGCAGAAACATCCAGAAGTCAAACCAGTACGAATGTTTGGGCAGAGCCGGCAGGACGCCGCGTGAGTCCGCCATGATCGCACACACTTCCCGCTTCCGGTGCATTACACAATAAAAGTCCCCGGAAACCCGCTCGCTCTCTCCCAGAAAGTCCATCAAAGTCGAGTCCAAAAGATCTTTTACAGCACTTTTCACAATAAACATTAGCCTCTCTCAAAGCAGCTTTACAGAGAATTGTGATGTGAATGTTTATAGTGTCTAAACATCTTCATAGCTGTATTTAGCGGATAGAGCTGGGCAATAACACAGAAACAGCAGGGTTAACATTTGTACAAGAGCTAATAAACTTAATTTAAATCCCCTCACTCTATTTACTTAAACACTTAAGAGCAGTTTATAGCTCTAAATAGCATCTAAATGAATGCTTTAGCTCTTAAGACTGCTGTTAAGTCGATGTTAACAGCGCTTACACGTGACCATCACAACTATGCATGTTTATAGCATTTATATAAATGTTTGAATTGTAATCTGCATATTGCTCTTATATGAACAGTGGTTAAATTAACTATCATCTTTAATGAACAACAATGGCATTTCAACACATGCTGTCCCTGTTGAAAAAAACAGCATATGCTGGTTAGGTATGTTTTGATGCTGGGATGCTGGTTCTGGTTCATGCTGGTCCTTTGCTGGTTCATGCTGGTCCTTTGCTGGTTCATGCTGGTCCTTTGCTGGTTCATGCTGGTCCTTTGCTGGTTCATGCTGGTCCTTTGCTGGTTCATGCTGGTCCTTTGCTGGTTCATGCTGGTCCTTTGCTGGTTCATGCTGGTCCTTTGCTGGTTCATGCTGGTCCTTTGCTGGTTCATGCTGGTCCTTTGCTGGTTCATGCTGGTCCTTTGCTGGTTCATGCTGGTCCTTTGCTGGTTCATGCTGGTCCTTTGCTGGTTCATGCTGGTCCTTTGCTGGTTCATGCTGGTCCTTTGCTGGTTCATGCTGGTCCTTTGCTGGTTCATGCTGGTCCTTTGCTGGTTCATTGCTGGTTCATGCTGGTTCATGCTGGTCCTTTGCTGGTTCGAGCTGGTCCTTTGCTGGTTCGAGCTGGTCCTTTGCCGGTTTATGCTGGTCCTTTGCCGGTTTATGCTGGTCCTTTGCTGGTTCATGCTGGTCCTTTGCTGGTTTGAGCTGGTCCTTTGCTGGTTTGAGCTGGTCCTTTGCTGGTCCTTTGCTGGTTTATGATGGTCCTTTAAACCAGCATCAAAACATACCTAACCAGCATATGCTAGTTATTTCAACAGGGGTTAGCGTTGAAATAGCACTTGAATGAACGTTAATAACTCTTAGAATGAATCCTCGCACTGTTATCATTAATTTAAGGTTTGTTAGCATTCACACGCTCATAAGAGCAGCTAGTATATACTTCCCTCAGCACATAGTCAGCATAAACACACACAGAGTATAAAAATACATGCGGAGTGCCGCTAATGTCTACAGATGGCTAAGCAGCTCTTAAATTCTGAATGGTTGGACCTCAGATGTGTTTTAAAGGCCGTTTGTTTTAAACAGCGGCCCGTTCTGATGGCACGGATCCCAACGTCTCACTAAACAAACGTTTCCTCACGGCGGGAACAGCAGCACAAAAACAGGCCATGAATGTTTAACTGCGAGGTGACAGACTGCGCTAATATGTGCTGCACACTTGGATGTTTGAGAGCATAAACAGGGAGTTTTCATTCTGAATGTGAGCGATGCCATTATTCCTCAGACATAGAAATATTAAAGAGGTTTTATTGATGGCACTGCGTCATTTTGGAGATCACATATTTCTTTGCAAACTGATTATATTTACAATCATTTTACATTAATTAAATGTATGATTTTCTATGAAATAATTTAAATAAATGTGAAGCTATGGAACCATTTACATACACTTCTAAACTATGAGACCTACAAGGATTTCTGACGCTCTGATGGACGACATTAGTATTACAGCCTTCATCTGCTAAAAACCATTTTGGTGGACCATTCAGATTTGACATTATATGCTGCTGAATTTGATTGGCTGCTGTCATTCATGTTTGTTTGCTTATCGGAGTAAAATTTAAAGAATATGTGAATATATGCCCCGAAGACAACGCACACCAATTATCAACTTGATTGATCATTCGGCTGCAGAGTTACGTGTGCTTTTCAGTTGTAGCGCCACCTATGGGCAAAATTGGGCGCAATGTGGTGTGCGTCCTCAGAATGTCCAGTTGTCTTTCTATGTTAAGTTTTGTTGAGTTTAAGCTTTGTGTTTGGCAGATAGAGGACAATTTATTAAAGTGAGCAATGTTAAATATTATATTGTTATTATAATGTTATATTAACAATTGCAATCTTAATAAAGCCAAATTATAGCTACAGCCTCCTTCTGTTCATGGTTAGGGTTTTCTGCTAGCATCTGAATCATGTTTCTAATAGTTCATTTTATTTCCTGATCATAATCTCATTACTCATGTGACAGGATTTCTGAGGGCTAACGTTCAGTAGCACAATCCCGGCTGATTACCAAATTAACAACACACGGACAAGGGATGTTGATCGACGTCTAAATTATTTGATTATGTGAGATGCAGGAGAGTGTGGAGTAAAAACTAGCACAGCTAGATGAGAAATGACATGCATTGTGCTACATCTCTGGCTTCGTGTGTGAACGTCACGAGGAAAAGACACAATTCTGTTACTACAGAATAAAAAAAGGACACACGTTTTCATTAAAAAGTTATTTTCTCAAGCAAATTCATGAAGTGTTGTTGCTCTCATGGTGTCATGTAAACTAAAGGCCCATTTACAACAAGAATGATGACTGTAAATAGGCCTAACTAGCCTACAGATATAATATGTGTAACGCTCATAGACTTTCAGTTTGTTTCTCCATGTTCCTGTTTTGTTTCTTGACCTAGTTTTCCATGCGCCACTGATTAGTTAATGCTGTTCACCTGTGTTCGTTAATTATCTCAGCAGTTCCCTTTCTGTTCTGTTCAGTCCTTTGCCGGTTATTGTTTGTGATGATGTTGATGTTTGGTTCTTTTGTGTTGGTGCGACCCTTTACTCCTGGATTACTTGTGTTTATTCTCCTTGGATTTATCATTAAAGACTGTTTCTTGGATACTCCTGCATCGTGCGCCTTATATTATATAAAATATGCAATTACAACATTATATATACATATATATATTAAATACATATGCAATAATTGTATCTATAAAGAGAATTATAGGCTAATAATGACAACATAGGCATCCACACCAGCAAAAATGGCTGCAAAACTATTTTAGATGTATTTACATTCGATAATGGTTTTTATTATCATTTAGCCTTTTTATTTTTTATTTTTTTCTTCTGTTTTTTGTCATTACATTTTTAGGAATTTTGTTATGTGCTTATATCATTTTATTCGTTTTTATGTCAGTTTTACATATTTACTTATTTTACTCATATTTAGTTTTTACTTATTTCCAGTTAGTAATTTTGATAATTTAACTTAAAAGTATTTCATTTAGTTGCCAAGGCAGCATTTCTAATTTTTGTTTAGTTTAGGTTTTTCATCTAATAATTTGATTTGATTAGATTTTTTATTTGTTATTTTATTTTATTTAAAAAACAATTTTAGTGATTCCAACTATATCAGTATGGGCCAGTTGGAGTATATCCTACTTTAACTGCTCAGCTCTAAATGTGACGTATTTCTGCTAATGCACGAAGATAGTAAGATCATGATTTTCTGTTCATATTCTGAATGTGTTATGAAAAGTGCTTTAAACATAAAATGGACTTGACTTCATAAACATGTTTGTAAATAAGATTCATATTTGTGTCCAGACCACAGAATTATTGAAAATGATGTTGTGGTCTGATTACCTCCTCAGCGGTGCATTCATTTTCAATAATCTGTCAATGCGTCCTTCGTCTCTTTCTCGGTTCTGTCCAGTGAAACCCATTTGTTTTTGAAGCTCAACATAAAGATGCAATGGCTCATGTGGACCGTCTTTAATATTCCTCTCATATTCTCATTGATCAGCCGGCGGTCTTTACAGATGGCGCTAAACGCCGGCGTATCAATGTGTCATTGTTAACATTCATCTGATTTCTCTGGACCTCTGTACGGTTCATCCAGCATCACGGCGTCTAGACAGACACAGACTGCGCTATAATCGAGCGTTTGATTGTGTGTGCATCCAGCACGATGTTCCTGACCCCGTGTTACGAGTTATGAGCGCGATCTGTCAGAGCTCTGTCAGGCATTAGATCTCTGGATTAATTGTTTTGTCAATGATGGCCTCGTCTCGATGTGTCGTGTACTTTTAAAACAGAAGGGAACTATCTTTCTCTTCGGTGTCAGGAGTTCAGAGTCAGGACTGAACCGCTAAGAACCGGATTACCAGTCGAGGCCCAGATTCAAACCCGGACCGTCAGGCCAACAAGCAATGAAATGAAGTAGAAAACATGCTGCATTTGAAACTCTGAGCCAATGTTGTGAGTAAATCCTCCTCTGTAAAGGTGAAGAGACGCTTGAACAGGATCACTAAAGAACACTGGAAGTCTTGTCTGTGTCCAGATCAAGTCGAGATCTAGACCGAGGTCATGTTTGTGATCTCAAGCATATAAAACACACATAAAACACGGATGATTAATAATTCAAGCATTAGGAATTCTCAAACTTGCATTACAGTGTAATTTCAATGTTGTTTTTGTTAAATGTTGATATGCATTTAAATATTAGCAGTAATGTTTGAATATTTGGTTGAATTGTGTGAAACTGAAATATTGTTTTTGCTGACCATTTTAGTACTTAAGTAATGAATGTGGAAACAAATTATTGACTATATTTTGTGTGAATTAAAAAGAGACGAATAATATTGGAAAGCATTATTTTCAGTCATGTCAAGCAACTTGACAAATATATTTTTTAATAACATTATGGCATATAAACTTTAAGGCAACATTTAATGACCTATACTCATTTTGGAGATCACATATTTCTTTGCAAACTGATTATATTTACAATCATTTTACATTCATTTAATTAATTATTTTCTATGAAATTATTTAAATAAATGTGAAGCTATGGAACC